GGCGTACGGAATATGCGTGTTTCGACTGCAAATTGCGGTAAAAGAAACGTGCGACAAACGCGCATTTCCGAGGGATACTCTGCAGTATCCCAATGGATACATGCGGCAAATAAGCTCCAAAGAAGCTCCTGTACTTCGGGCGTAGGGCGTTTTGAAGCGCGTTCCTACGCGCTGTAAAACGCCCAGGTGGGAACCATGCCCATATGCAATCATTGGTTTTCACATGTTGAGCCTTTTACAGAGCGTAGGAACGCGCTGTAAACCGCCCAGGTGTGAACCAGGCCTAAGGCCTGGTTCACACCTTAGGCCTTAGCTAAACTTCCTGGTTCACATCTGGGCGTTTTACAGCGCATTCCTACGCTCTGTAAAACGTTCAACATGTGAAAACCAATGATTGCCTATGGGCATGATTCCCACCTGGGCGTTTTACAGCGCGTAGGAACGCGCTGCAAAACGCCCTACGCCCAAAGAAGTACAGGAGCTTCTTTGGGGCGTATTTGCCGCACGTATCCATTGGGATACAGCCTGGTAGCCCTCGGAAACGCGTGTTTTTTTTACTGCGGATCGCGGTAAAAAGTCGTGGCGCCACAACCGCGCATATTCGATATGCCTAGGTGTGAACCCAGTCTTAATCTCGTGCTCTTTCTGGCAGACATCAAAGATCAGTACTGCAAAGTTTTAGATACATAAACTTTCTAGTGAGGCCAGTGGAGGGAAGGGGGATGCATGTTTGAAGGTAGCAGACTGTCCTGGCCCAGGCGTAGCGCATTTAAACCACAATCAGGTAAGGTTCTAAAAAAAGGGGTAGGCAACCTCGGCACTCCAGATGTGCTGAAATGACAAATCCCATCATACCTCTGCCTTCTTGAGTCATCCCTGTGGCTGTCAGTCTCGCAGTGCCTCATAGGACTTATAGTTTCACCACAGCTGGAGTGCCGAGATTACCTACTCCTGTTCTAAAATCTCCAACCACTTAAATCCCTGATCACTGTTGTATGTGACTGTTTGAGGGCTCCCATCAACAATGAGCCCAGTCTAGCCATTGTTATTTAATGTCTGTTGGTACAGTCAGGTCATTTATAAAGATTCCTACAGTGCAGTTAGCTAAACTTGGGTATCGCATAGAAATAAGCTTGATGGGACAGTTGAGTACCGCATGTAAATTATTTTAGTCCACCGTAGGCTTCAATTCAGCTTCCTCTTATAACCAATCTATTTTTGGATTCCCTTTTTTAGAGATCACTTAGTCATGTTGTATGGTGTAGGAAGTGGTGCTAACAGACTTTGTGTTTGTTTTAATAGAGGCGTAATTGGTAAGCCAGTAAAAAGAGCATTAATGGTGGACATTGTTGGCAGCAGTCCTGGTTTCCAGTCCATTATCCCAGCTTCTTCCAAACAATTCAGTACTCTTAAGAGCACTCGGTCCTGATTGAAGTAGTGGGCTGGCTCTGGGTAACAGTTCCACAAATATAATATTGCCTTGATGGGTGGGTGTCAGTCTGGAGGAATGGGCATTCCTAGGAAGGTTGTATTTGCATGCAGACCACCCTAGGCAACGCTCACATGTGATTCTGAGCCTCCTTGACTGAAAGAACTGTAATTCAAGGAAAGAAAGGGACATTATTGCTGTGGAGGAGGAAAGCGCTAGATAATGACGGACATCCTCCAGCCAGGAAATTAGGTGGGCTCTATTTGAATGGCTCGAACTGATTCTAATGCACATTGTGAGAAGCTCAGTGTGCAGTGAAATTCGAGTAAGCAATTTCAGCCCAGGAGAGGAGCCGATACAACTGTGCAAGACTGAAGGGAAGGCTGGAGAGTAGCTTTAAGCATTCTTCATCAGTTTATATCATTATAAAGCTTTCAAACAAATGGTAACAATTCAGGTTAATAATGCAGCAGATGATATCCCATGATGTAACCCAATAATGCTGATATAACTCACATGAGGGGTGTAGGGAACCAGTCTCAATGTAGAGGCAAACGCGCAGTCTCTTCAACAAAAATGCCAGCTTTAATTCCAGACAGCAATCAATTGACAAAAAAAAAAAAGGTTACAGGCATCCAGCCCAAACATTTAACTTGTCATAAACAAATAAAAGTCTGCTCCGCTGAGCCTTACTGGGTATTAGCGATAGTCCTCTGAGCTGGGTCTGTTTTCTCTGGGAACAGTTACAGTCCATCCACAGAACCCTGTCCTTCTGACAGGCTTGGCTCCAAACATAGAACTTGCTGCATTCAGCACACTGTCTCTCCTTGCACTGAGACACACACTTCCCCCCAGCTAGGTGCAGCTGCACACTAATTAAGTCCTGTGCAGTCTTCACTAAACTACGGTCCATGGAACTAGGAGTCTGTCCCACCCAGAGCTCTATCAGACTCCTAGTAACACCAGCCCCAGGATTTGTTTTACCAATACAAGTAAAGAGCTATTTTTCTTTACCTCCAAATCTATGCTGGCATTACCTTAGATAATGAATCTAAGGATCCGTGGAGAAATGTATCTACCTTCTATCACTTTTCCTGCCAACCTGGCAGGTTTTACTGGCACCATGTTACAGGGGATTAGGATAAATACTATATTAGATGGAAATACATTTCTGATGAGTGTTGTAGACCATTGACTTATCTATGGAATGTATGTGGTTTTGTTGAAGAAACAATATTTTCCTGCGCTATCTAAATCATACTTTGAACATGTACACACTGTATACATAGACCTCATTTTTGATGATGGGAAAGGTATAGTAATTGCTGTGCAATTATTGGTGCTGTTGTGTTACATACAGAGAAAATGTAACTCTTGAATTCTTGAAAAGATGACTTTTCTTCCTACAAGATAAGGCAATTAGCATGCTTCCCCTGAAATTTCCTATCATCATTACGTGCTCGGACAGCCTTTGTGGTAAGCCTGGAGGTGCAGTTTGTGAGAACTATGCATTTGAATCAAAGAGATGCTTAGGAATCTGAGTGACTCACCCTAAATGCACAAGTTTTCTCTAACAAGGCGGCTGCTGTCCAGGTTCAGCATACAATTGAATCTAGCCTCCTGGCGCCCACTGGCAAATGGGTTTGGCAAGTGAGGGATGGAGACAGGAGGAGTGCCAGCACAGAATCTTGGATGTACCCCAACACTTGCTCAACACAAGCATTTTGCTGTACAGTTGAAAGTTAGCTGGTGTATTCTTGCATTTAAAATGTGACGTTTCCATCATAGGTACCTAAACTCCAAAGGGGGCCATGTACAGGACATGTTTTTATGGAAATGTTGAGCAGTGACCCATCTACATGATCTCAAGAGCAGACATGACCTAATGCAGCAAATTCAACCAACCATTGAGTTGGAAAAACCACTTTATGCAATAACAATTTTTCTGACAATTAGAAGTCCGGTTTGCTGAACCCTCATATTGCTACACCGTTACATAGTATTTGAGGTTGAATAAAGACATAAGTCCATCAAGTCCAACCTTTTGCTGATGTGTGCGTATGTATAGGTCCATGTATCATCTCATTCTTAAGAGTACCTGCACCCTGTATAGTACGGTCTCTCAGGAAATCATCCAAATGTTTCTTGAATGTGTCCACACTCTTAGCTGAAATCACTGCCTCTGGCAGCGAGTTCCAGACCCTAACCGCTCTAACTGTGAAGAACCCCCTTCGCCCCTTGTGCTGGAAATTTTTTCCACCAATTTTAGGTGGTGGCCTCTAGTCTTTGTTACGGAGTTAATCGTAAAGAGTTTGTTGCTAATGTTGCTGTCACCATTGAACATTTTATGCATGAAAATCATGTCCCCCCTTAATCTCCTTACTTCCAACGTGAACATGTTTAGATTTAGTAGCCGTGTCTCATAGCTCTGGTCCTCCATTCCCCTAATTAATTTGGTTGCCCTCTGCTGGACTCTTTCCAGCTCAAGGACATCCTTTCTGTTGGCTCAGAAATGCTTGCTTTTATGTAGCCGCGTATATATCTGGTCTAAGGGCTTATTCACACCATGTGTGTTTGATCAACGCAGGCTCAACATTAGAAAACATACAAGTGAGTTGGTGCTGCATTTTTTATTCTATGCAGCACACAAAACATGTCAGTGCATGTTCTATGCACAGCTTATAGAGAATGATGATTTACGGGACCTTAGGCTGCTGGAGTGGAGGGGGAGAGAGGCTCCAGGGACCGGTCCAAGAGCAAGCGGGCTCAAAGGATCATGTGAGCTTTGTTATTTTCCTCCATAAACCAAACAAGCACTTTACCCCTGCAGCGGGGATTGCCCCACTGCAAGGGTTAATAAATTTCCCCAGAGTTCTGGGGATTGGTCTGTACTGGATTGGTCTATGGTAGGTTAGGTGGAGCTTTGAAAATGGTCTAAGGAGGCAGAGTCTCATTTGAGCAGTCGGAGAATCATGGAGAGAACTTCCCACCCACTCACCTTGGTTTGGATGTAGTTATGTGGTGTTGTAGCGGTGGTTTGAAGGTGGCCAAAAAAGGTGCTGGGGGTAATGTTTTGGGACCGGTCTTAGTATGGTGTCCTCCAGTTTATGGTGTGAAATGGTATTGAACAGGAATTTCAGTTACTGATCTGCGGTTATTTTGGAGATTGTCACTAAAACGGTGAGGTGCGACTGGGGACCTAATATATTTAGTGGTACAGAAGAGACAAAATGTTAATGGAGTGGTCTTAAAAGACCTGCAACCTTTTACCTGTTTTTTTTTTAATGATGTTGAATTTTATATTTGGTTAATTTTTTAATAAAAGGCAGTCATGGCCGAACATCTCAATGGACGGTGTTGTCTGGTTATTTGGGGGAGAGTTTGAGGGAGGTTTGGGTGGCCCAGCAGTTTGCCCGTGAGGTGTGGTGGGGACATCTGTTCTACCTTAGTCATGTATTTTATGACATTTGTATTCTCCTAACAGAAATGTGGTAAATTGATTTATATATGCTGCAGCTGCACACATCTTTTCAGAAATGCATGTTTGTAATGTGTATTCTTGTTTTTGCAGAGATCTGCGCTTTAACCGAATCAAGGATATTCAGCCTGGTGCATTTACGCATCTGAAGAGTCTTAACACTCTGTAAGTTGACTTTCCTTTTATAACAGTTTTGTCTATCTTATTTCTGTGTTTTGATTTTCTCTGTTATTTAAAGTGACACTTAAGGCTTAAAAATGCCTTCAAGTACCCTAACTATTTATTAAAATTCAGTACAGTTTTGCGTAAGAAGTTAGTGGGCGTTGGTGCATTGAGCATGTGCGGGGAAGTAGGTCCATAACATTCACGAAGATAAAAATTCACACGTGCGCCTAATGCGGGGAAGCTACTGGCTTTACAGTATAAAGCCAGTAGCTTCCCCGCACAGACGCTCATGTTTTATTGTTTAACTCGACTGCAAATTTTAGGGACCCACTTCCCCGCACATGCACAATCGCCAGTAAAATGTCTGGACCTTTATCAGCGGCTCTAAGCTTGCCTGTTCAGCCGGCGCCTCCTGCACGCACCCCGAAAGTGACACACGTGTCCAGATTGGTAATGGCCCCAGTTCCTAACAGGCCACGGACCGGTACCGATCTGTATCCTGGGGGTTGGGGACCCCTGCTGTAGAGGGTATAAAGGTACTGGCACTGGATGACACTGATGCTTATTTCTCAGTGTCATCCAGTACCAGATGGCTGTAATCAACAAACTCTTCTCAGACACCATTCTGCCATTTAAAAGTCATAGGAATGTTTATAAAGTTCATTTCTTTGTGAAGTGTACTTTTTGTCCAACCCCTATTGGAATGTGCATACTCCAGGGAGAAAATATGTACCACCTAGACGTATTTTCAGTAGTAATGATGTTTAACAAATCAAAGCTGAACGTGCTAAAAGTTGATGAACTCATGTCATGGATCCTCCAACTTCAAAACCCTGTGGGGGAAACCATGAAACATAACACGTTCGTTCTGTGCATTCACATCAAATAGAGTATGCTCTAGAGACGGTGCACAGCAAAGTAATAACTGTTTATGAAATTTGCCTGATTTATTTGTTTAAGACTTGCCTTGTAAGCAGAACTCCAAGTTCATCTCGACATGAAAGGTATTTTCTGAAAGGGAAGAATGGGCTCTGCCAAAAGATATTCTTCCCAATTCCTCCCTTCGTTCTCAAGCAAAAATAAATCTCACTTAAGTAAAATATGTAAACATTTCTTATCAAACCAACTTTATTTTTATATCTGTTTCCTGGAGTGGAGATTTTAGGCTTGCTGTGACATCTTCTCTGAGTGTGTATATTTAATGTGATGGAGACATTAGTTTTATACCTACCTTCTGACAAATGTGTTCAAAATGAAACTAATTTAGGTTTTAAGGCTTGGTTAGGGTCAAGTTCTGTTGTGGGCCTGGCTTAAAGTAGTTTACTGCTTTAAGCAAGAAAGTACAAGAGCCGCTTCAGCACATAAAAGGAACATTTGGGGGGGAATTTATCAAAACTGGAGCAGAAGAATCTGGAGCAATTGCCTATGGCAACCAGTCAGCTTCTCGTTTAGTTCAGGTTTGAAAATGAAAGGTGGATGCTGATTGGTTGCCCTGGGTAACTGCTCCAGATTCTGTCTGCTCCAGTTTTGATATTCCCCTCTGTCTTTTAAATCGCTTCAGATCTTCTGTCTGAGCCAGCTCAGTATTGTCAGGGTACTCTGATCTGCTTGGCATTTTTTCATTAAATGCAGGCCTACTTTAAAACCATCTCTTGATGAAAAAGCCAAATGACCCTAACGTGCAGTGTGACTCTGAGCAAGTCATTATCTAAGAGCAAGCTCCACCATTAGCATAACTCTACCAGGGTAAGACTTTCCATTTAAACACTGAGACCTGTTGAAGTTGAACTTCAATTCATAGTGTTAGGCTTTTTAGAAGTGTGTGAAAAGAGAAGGCTGAGGCACAAATCAATAGGATGTACATTTATTGAATGGGTTACAGAAGGTGTTAGGTGACCAGTGTTTTTTGGTGTTTTATTGTAGCACTCGGCATTGATGACCCCAAGCAGGTACTTCACCCTACAGTTGTCCTAGCTTGAGGCTAAAGAAAGTTCAGCTATAGCCCCTATTATATAACTTAAACCAGGAAACAAGTACCATCCAGTCTTAACCAATCGCAATACAAACAAGTAGATAATGTAGCAAGTTATACTCTATAAGGCTCCTTTAACACAAGCGGTCCAATTAGGTCTGCCTGTCAGTTTTTCCGGTGGACCTGATAAGATGACCAACGAAAGTTTATGGGCAGCCGCGTGTAAACGTATGGGCATCCAATTGCGTCTCAGCCCTTGCCAGGTCCGGAAAAACAAACAAAGCAGTGTTCCATTTCTCCAGACCTGATCATGCCGGATAAGGGGTAATCTGATGTAAATGGACACGTTTACATCCAAATCCCCATAGACCGACATAGGCTCTGGTCAATTCAGTTTTGATGGAGGTAGATACTGGATGGACGTGGATGTCGCCGATCCATGCCACTCCGATCAGGAGAGAATCCATGCACAGATCACCTCCTGAACAATTTGATTGTCCTCGTAAAATGTCAATGGATTGGCACTGACATGGTTAAATGGATACAATGCTAAATTCCTTTTAGTTATTTGTTTTACATTTTCTTTTTGTAGGCTTCTAAACAACAACCAAATCAAAAGGATACCCAGTGGAGCATTTCAAGATTTAGAAAACCTGAAGTATCTGTAAGTAACCATTATTCTTCTTTTTTCTATTGATGTAGGTAATGAAGTGCTGGAATTCTTCCAATTAAAACATGAACTTAACCTATTTACAGTATTTGAGCTATATTTGTGAATAAATGTGGTCAGCTTAAATTATTTAAATGCAGGCAACAGGGTTTAATATTTTGCTTCTATATATGCTCTATATGTAAATCCTATATGTACACATGTGCAGGCATAATTGCTTTTATAATACTCTGCTTAGTATTGTCGGACATCTGAAGAGATCTGACACACTTGCTACTTAGTCAGACCTAAAGCTTTGCAAACAACAAAGTTTGTGCTCCCCGCTGATTGGAGAGCTCCAATCAGCGGGGTCAATTTGGCTGCTTATATTAATCTATGCAATTTGGCGACTCTTTCATTTAAAGCAGAACTGTAGCTTAGTAAAGTTATCCTATAAGTGCTGCCAGCTGGGTGTTATACTTAACCTCAGCGAACTTCGTTGTGGCCCTGCTTGGAGCCACAAAAGCCTTTCTCTCAGAAATGTCCAGTTCGTCCCATGCAAGCATACCACAGCCCCATTCTATCCTGTGGGAAAGCCATACTCTGAGAGACTGCTGGAGGCCACCATTGAGGACACCATGTACATGGCTGTCCCATAGGAATGATTCGGGCTTTGACATGCATGCACAGTGGTAGAGTCGCACATTGAATATTGCTAGATCAGGCCTGAAGGTCTGTATTTTATTTCACCAAGTGAGCAGCACCTAGGGAGATGGATGATCTATTATAGGACAGAAATACAAAGGCACGGTTGTTCGTTTTGTGTTTTAAATGCCTGGTATATATACAAAACAAGGAAAAACTATTTTTTTTAAAGCAGCATAAATCAATGGAGTTGTTTGTTTCATTGTTAAAAGGCAAAATTATGAAAGTGACTGTCACAAAAAAGTTTAAATAACAAATGTTCAAGTAAAAAAAAAAAAGCGTAAATGCTCACCTGCCCACGCCAATCAAACACAGCTTTGATGTTGGAATCGTATGCTACAATCAGGGTTATTCACTAAATGGTGAAGAGTTTGGAGAAGGCAGGAGAAGTGAACAACCTAGGACAACATAGCTGAACCAGAAAGTTAGCTGAATTGGAGAATTTTTTAAAAATCAGCTATTTTGGCCTAGATCGTTCACTTCTCCTGCCTTCTCCAAACTCTTCACCATTTTGTGAATAGACCTGAATGTCTTCAGAAAACGACACTTCCAGGAGTGTCGGTCTCCTAACCCACTCAGTAGCTCCCTTACCTTCAACCTTCCATCACTACTGTGTCTTGTAGTGACATAGGCGTTGGCAGGAAGAACCACCAGGATCAAAGCAGAACACAGGAAACCGATACACCCATTATTGTACGTTTCTGAAGGTTTCCTTTTCGTCATTAAAGCTGTGTTCGGTGGTGTAGGCCGCAGGAAGTGAGTGTTTTTTACTTTCTTTCCTTAAAGGTGGACCTGTTAACATTTAAGTTTTGTGACTGGATAACCTTTTAATGGCAATACCATAAACAGATCTTTTTTGCATGTGGCATTCTATATCTTAAAATTTAGGAGGAGTTCTTATCACTGACAAAGACACTGCTGATGTTAATATTTAAAACCGTTTTGTATTATATGTTGTATGTATGTAATTCTTTCTACTAGCACAGCATCCAGTCCACATGATATTGTATTAATCCCCAGACTGTTCAGGTCACTTCCACAGGGTCAAGTACATTGGCTGCAGACCCCTTGTCGTTTACCGGTTAACAGGTGGTAGCAATTAACTGTTAAGAAATGGTAATTCTAATTGTATATAATATTGCTGTGTACATATTACTTGGTGTAGTTATGGCTTGTAAGCTTTTGTTTTCACCTTGAAGGTTACCTTCTCACATTTCTGGGAGTTCTTTAGAAGAGCATTATGTGACTTTGTTTTGTGGGGTTTTGTTGAATTTGTTTTGTCTAAGTTGAGGACCAGCGCCTAGTAAAACATAGGCCTGACTGTGATTACTGGAGACTGATGGAGGAAGGGAAGTGCCAGTTCAGTGCACTGTGTTCTTATAGATATTGTGACATCCCAACTCTTCCAGATGTCCTGTTTCTGAGCATTCCCAGATTGTGGAGGAAGTTGTCAAAATGTTGCTTGTAAGGCATTGCATAGTTTTCTCTTGAGACAAAACAAATTAATGTCTAGTTTGCATTGTGATTGATGCATTTCTCCAAATATCCAACACAGCTGCAATTAGACAGAAGCTGCTTTGTGCCAATATCATACCGTTGTCTTTCATAGTTGTACCCCTGGTAGAAAATTCCACTGCCATTTATAATAATGATTACCGTTCTCATTGAAACTTTAAAAAAATGTGATCTTTAAAGTGTACTTAACCCAGTGCTTACACTGGTTCAAGGACCCTGTCCCAGCCCCTCCATGTGACAACACTGGGCCAATCATTAGGCGTCAGCACAGTCATAGGAGAAGAATTAAAAATTAGTCACATGATCCCCATACTCGAAAGTGCTCCTAGTGGCAAACCGATATGAAGGAAGGGGTGCCAGACATTAAAATGTACCAGTTGCTTTGCTCAATACATAGGGCCCCACTTCATTTGTAACCAGACATACAATTGCTTATCCCTCCATGCTCTGTATATATCCCAAGGCCAGATAACTGAATATGTGTAATAAGAACAGAACTTTTATTATAAAAGGAATAAAAAAAATATCCTTACAAACATGGAAACCAAAATGGACCAGGTCACGGCAATCATTGTCATATCAATTCTCACTTGCGTGCCAGCATCCGGAGAGGCAGAGGCTCTCTTTTTACTCATCCTTTTATTTTTCATTTCATCAGTCCCTGCCCTAGAAGAACTTACAATCTAAGCTCCCTTACTCACGTGCACACAGACACTAGGGATTATTTAGACAAAATTTAAAGTGAAATAAAACTGAACTCTAGCATCACCTTCTTTCTCACACTTCTAACAAGTTCTCCCCTGCGTTGATACTGATTCCTCTCAATTTCCTGCAAACCTACATCTCCACCAGAGCGGTCAGCCTCTGGAATGCACTGTATTATATCTTGGCGGGCTTCCTGCGTTCAGGGGCGTGGCAGTGCATTGAAGTCAATGGCACCGTAGCCACGCCCCCTGTCTGCAGTGTGATCGCCCGCACCAGAGCGCATGGCACATCAGTGCCTGCGTTCCACTCCAGTGCGATCTGCTAAAATGCTGCACTATTTTTGAAGATCGCACTGGATCGAAAGGCAGGCACTGATGTGCCACATGTTCTGGTGCGGTTGATCGCACTGTGAGCGGGGGTGTGTGGCTGTGGTGCCATTGACTTCAATGCACCGCCACACTCCCTCCCGCCCCTGAATGCAGGAATTCGATACAGTAGGTCTCAGAGCGGCCAGTCTCACTGTTTATGGTTTGAACCGGCCCTCAAGCTGAAGCAGTTATCTTTAGTCAACCTTTCTTTTCGCTCTGTCCATCATTCGTTAATAGTCTCTCCCCCTTTATCCGTACTGTCTTGGCACCCCTCACAGCTGTTAGGTTTCTCTGCCATCAAACATTTTGTTCCCTAGCTTTGTGTAAAAGAACACTACCCCGTTTCCCTTTGGACGAGTCTGCAACCATTCACAGCTAAAGTCTGCAGCACCCAGTGGCCAGCAAGGAGAAACAGGAACATCTAAAGGGATCACAGGGATGTGTTGTTTCATATAATGCTTTAGAAAAATCTCCACCAAATGCTATGACATTTACAGGAGGCTACAAACCCCCCACCACCACAAAACTCCAAGCAAAGAACAGCAGATAGGACCCAGTGAAGACATTAATGATATCTGTTTGAAAAATTTGCAGTTGCATGTTGATCATGGGGAGGGGGAGTCAAGGGAAGGTATTATATGCTTACAGTGCACTTCACATTCAACCTACCAGCACATATTCCATTCAGAACTACAACTAGCAACAGCTAGCGCTGTCAACAGGTCTGTGAGTGAATGGCCTCGTACTGAAACATGCACAGCAGTGCTGAACTCAAAACTATACAGCAGCCTTTAGGGGAGAGGAATCCCATGATTTAGGTAAGACAGGGGAAGGTGGTCCCAATGTGACCATGTTTCACACTATGCATGTAACATAATACATGGTCAGAAAAGTAGACTAATCTTCTTTGGGATTGTACATATAGTGTGCTCTTAAAGGAACTCCTGTTATCTCTGCAGTATGTAGCAGACAGGTACACTTTAAAAGCAAGAAATCTGCAGTGCACATGGTTCCAGTCCTTCACATAATTAGTATCTGTAGTCGGCCTTTCTTGCTCTTTTATGAACTTCACCTTGTGTTTTAGGTTTTCAGTAATTATTTGCAGTTTGAGTAATAAAGCTGCTCTGTTCCTTGTTGGAAATGTAACAGATTTCTGTTTATCTACTTTTTCATTTAATTTTCTCTTTTTCTCAGTAAAGGAAGTAGTAGAAATAGAATGCTTGCCATGTTTTGGGAAGATGTGTTCAATCCTTTTTAGTTGCAGCTGCTGTCCCTATGGCTTTGGACGGAGCTGTTCCAGAGCTGGAATCAGTCACAGACCTGACCCTAGACAGTGTGGAGCATTCTATGGAAGCGCGGGATAGCGGGCAGGAAGTGTCTTCTGTTCCCACTCTGTTAAAGTTCAAACGGGCTGTAAACTTAGACAATAACTGCATTTATAAAACAAGTGTCCTAGTCTCTGAAGGACATGCGGTAATGAAAATGTCATATGTTTTACCTAAAGGTCAAGAATACTTTTATTTTTTAACTTGAAAAAGAAGTCAAGCCAGAGTTTTTTTGTTTTTTTTTGGCTTTACTTCTCTTTTGGGTCACAGGAATACATTTACTAATCTACTCCTGTGACCCAAAGTCAGCATATAGGGGGTAATATTCACTATATGCTGATGGTGCAGAGCCGTCCTGCAGCCAGCATGGATCCCAACAATATTGTCGGGATCCACC